ATAATTTATTAGTAAGGAAATGTATGCTTAATTGTTTTAAGGAATATAAAATATCTGCTACTTTTTTTAACAGTAACAAAAATACATAGAGCCTTATAGATGTATTGTCTATGAAAAATTTAGCATCCAGTTAATTACACATATTTTAGATTAACCTTTTTTATTCTACATTTTTCTATTTATTATCTCCATTCTTAAAGTCTATATTAGGAGTCTCCAAACTTGGCAACTTTAAGACTTATCAACTTCAACTCCCAGAATTCTCCAACCACCCATCCTACAGTGTGCTAGCAAACAATATTCAAAATGTTGGTCTAAAACTAGGAGAGTTATTTCCAAGTCTAATTTCAGCCATGAAAACTTACTGGGTGACTTAAGGTCAGTCAGCATCATACTATCCAATCTAATTTCTAGAGTTGTTGTGGGGGAAAATTAGATGAGTTCCTGCCTCCAGTAAGATATAAATTCAATGAATGTATGAATAAATAAATACAGAATATTTATCGAATGTTTATAGCAGAAGCATATAACTTCTGTCAGCTCAAGGGCTACATCACATTCTACATGATATATCAAGGGCAGGATCTGTATTCTGAGGGATTTTAAAATGGAAACATGAATAAAATGTAAGCCATTGCAAATCTCTGGATTGCAATGCTGTAGAAATGTGGATAACTGATCAATCAGTCAATAAAATGCTTTAAGCCTATGCAAACCTGAAAGCAGTCATTTGACCACTTAACCATCATTCCCTGCACTCAACACCCCCCCCAAAAGCAAAATAAAGGTCCAAAATGCTTGGCACATTTACTCTAGGGTACCGTATTTTCCGGCGTATAAGATGACTTTTTAACGCATGAAAATCTTCTCAAAGTCAGGGGTCATCTTATACGCTGGGTGTCGTTCTCCTGTAACCAGGCAGACCAGCCCGAAAGGCTCTGACGAGCCTTAAATGGCTCTGGCGATCCAAGCTCTGATGATCCCAGCTTTGCCTGCTAATCAGGTAACTCAGCTGGGATCGCCAGAGCCATGTAAAAGAAATGGCTCTGGCGATCCAAGCTCTGACGATCCCAGCTAATCAGGCAACGCAGCTGGGATCGCCAGAGCCATGTAAAAGGAAAAAAGTTTTCCCCTTCCAGCTTGCTTACCTTAGCTGCTATTCGCAACGCTTGCCTTGCTTCGCTTGCCTGAATCCATTCCATCAGCAAGCCACTCCCTGTCTGCAATCAAGCAGGCAGGGAGTTGTGGATTTCAACTCCCAGAATTCCTCAGCCAGCAAAACAAAGCTGGCTGAGGAATTCTGGGAGTTGAAGTCTACAAGTCTTAAAGTTGCCAAGGTTGGAGACCCTTGTTCTATTGGGTAAGTTTTTTCCCCCTTTGTAGCTTTAAAAAAAATAGTTAATTGGGGTTTTTTTTTAGTTGTTCTTTTTTAGACCTAGCTATTTAAAGTTTAGGAAGTTTTAAATTTAGTTTTCATATAAAAATAAAATAAAATAAAATAATATTTGTGCAGCTTTCTGAGATTTAGTGTGTTTTTGTAGTGTTTCACTCTAACTACACAAACACAAAAAATCTCATAAAGCTGTATTTTGTGTCTGTAAAGTGTGAAAATTGGTTTTTTTGGGCTTTTTGTGGCTGTGTGAGGTTCCTGCTTGTTGCAGGGGCCATTTTGGGTCTCGCACAGCTGCTTTTACATTGTGGGTGAGCCAGTTGTGTTATGTTGTGTTGTGTGTGTGTAAAGTGTGAAAACTGGTTTTTTTGGGCTTTTTGTGGCTGTGTGAGGTTCCTGCTTGTTGCAGGGGCCATTTTGGGTCTAGCACAGCTGCTTTTACATTGTGGGTGAGCCAGTTGATTTTTTTAATTTTTATTTGGTGTGAGTTGGAAGAGGGGTAGTCTTATACGGCGAGTATAGCCCAAATCCTATATTTTAACAGGAAAAGTCAGGGGTCGTCTTATACGCCCAGTCGTCTTATACGCCGGAAAATACGGTAGTTCTAACATATTGGTCATTTTGATTATCTGCGCACCCTGGTTTATATTCTAAATATTTAGCAGCTCTTTCTGAATAAAAGTTGAAAGAGAAATTGCTCTAAAGATCCAGGCAGGATCTAATTTAATTTATAAAATAACAACATCATCAGTAAATCTTTACTTTTATATCATTATTTGTGTCCAGGATGTAGCCTGATAACTAGTTAATATAATTAACTCTGGTAGTCCTCAATTTATGACCATAATTGATCCCATAAGTCATGCCATCATTAAATGAATCACATGACATCTGATTTTACAACCTTTTGCAGAGACTATTAAGCAAATGCGAAGGTTTAAAGTTTATACTTCACTTTTTAAACAAATATATGGTCCTCACTGGATGTTTTTTTCCCATAAACTGGAAGAAAATATTAATTTCTGGCAAAAAAAAAAGGAGTAATGGATTTTACTCCACTAATTGTTGCCAACTGCAGAGGGCAGTGCTCATCTCTGTTTCAAGGCTATTGAGCCAGTGCTGTCCAAAGACATTTCCACAGTCATGTGGCCAGCATGACATCACAGAGCGCTGTTAATTTTGGACAAAATTGATTGTATACTGTGATCACATGACCGCAGAACACTGCAAATGACTGTAAATATAGGCTGGTCGTTGAGTACCCAAAATGTGATTGCATGACTGCAGGGATTGGGTGGCCACAGAAGTTCGAATTCAGATTATAAGTAGCTGTGGGGAGGATCATCATAACTTCAAATGGTTGCTGAGTGACTGGTTATTAAGTTGAGGCCTACTTGTATTGTTTTTCTTGTTCATTTTCACTAGTTCATCCAATTATGCCTTGAAGATAACTTACAAATTAATACTTTGCAAGGTCATTTTGATGCAAGCTCCAGAGTTCAGAGAAAATAACTTCTAAGTAAGCATGCATAAGGTTTCCAGCTTTTTATATTTGCAATTCACCCAATTCAATCCTTGTAAAATTAAAATTAGTATTATTCTAGAGTTGCTTTGCCTGTATGTCAGAAAGTGTTTAGGATGGGGAAAACGAAGATTGACAAACTCCCCTGCAGGACAGTGAATGGGGACTCTGCATGGGGACTCCTGATAACCTAATTCAATGTAATATGATATTAAGTATAAACTGAGCAGGCAATGAAAAAATATCTGCCGTTTGAATATCAAGCTAAATATAATAAAATCAAATTAGGTGTATTTCTTATCTCTATCAAATGGCATTTATCCAGCAAAAGACTAGAAATCCTAAAATACTTCAGGATATGCTGATAACCAATATTCATACTAATGAGTCTAGTTTAAGAATAGAACAGCCACTCTCCAGGTAAGGAAAGGCCAGGAGATGGCCCACTGCTGCTCTTCAGACCCACAGGATTGAAAGTTCTGCACACTTCTCACTAGTCTGAGAAATAGACTTTTGGAGCAGCAGTGTCTGTGAAAAGATGGTAAGCTTTCAGAGATAGCGTAGTCTGTAAAAAGACATTGGATTTGCAAAGCTCCCATTTGGAAGACAATTACTTCAAAGTTAAAGAGAGATCTTTGATGCAGCAGAGCAATCTAGCCATCCAGCAAATGATCCTTTATCCGCAGATTAAAGAAAAGAGCAAAGGAATAATTTAAAGGATTTAAAAATAATTAAAGGTAAAAAAATTAGCCAAGAATTAAAATAAGAAAGTTTAAAATGGACTAGTTTAATTTCAATTTGTTTTAAAAAGTATTTTTAAAATGAGTAAACGATTGACATATCTCTGTGGGAAGGAATTTTATTGCTACTAATTGGACACAATGACTAGACAACTTTGCAAAATAAAAGATAAGGGAAATTTACTAATGACCATCTGATTACAGAATTGTGTGTAATTGTAATTGTGAATGGGACTAAAGACTAAAGGCTAAAATAATAATAATAATAATAATAATAATAATAATAATAATAATAATAATAATAATAATAATTATTATTATTATTATTATTATTATTATTATTATTATTATTAGGTTTGGAAGAAAAAGATGTTCCTGACAACATTTAAATTTCAAGTCAAGGATTAATAAAGCAGAATATTACATAAAATAAAGGAATACAAACTGACTTGTTTGGTCAGGGAAAAGACAGTAACTACTTTTACAAAACACTGGAGACCTTTTATAGACTTTCCCCTGAAAATTGATATAGCTGAATTAATGGTTTTTGGATTTATCAATTGAAAAAATTAGATATAGGAACTTGTAATGTAATTTCAAGGAGGGAAGAAAGATATTAAGTCTGTTTGTAACATCCTTAAAGAAGATTGAACGTCACTTTCTTAAATATCTTTTTCCTTTTCCTATTTTCTACACTTTTTATTTTTTCATTATATTTACACCATCTATTTTTCTTTTTCATCTTAATCTTACTTTGTATTACATTTTGCTATTGTTAGCCTTTAGTAAACATTATTTTAAATAGTTATGAACATTCAAATAAGCATGACGCAAGGACAACTATTAGAATGATTGAAGGGAAGGAATCTTGCTGACTTCTCTTCCTTCTCCTTAAAGAAAATTGACCTCCATTCAGAGAAAAGGAAAGAGGTTCCCAGGACCCAGAATATCCCAAGAATCCTATTGCTTAATGTCAAAGGCTACTAGAGTAGTCGCTTTGCACAATGTAGCACCTCCTCCATGGGGCCTAGAAGCAGACCATCATTCCCCTTTATGAAGTTCTATGGACAGAGTACATGGCTAAAGACTAAATCAAAATGAAAAGGTCTTTTCAAACTTTGCATAGATATAGAGCTCATATTTTGTTAGTTGGCTTCACATCTGTTAGCTTCTGCTGGAAACAAAACATTGGAAATAATACGTAGATCTTTATGTTCCTTACTGTCTCCTCTTCATCATTGCATCATTCAATCTAAATTACTTTTCAGGGAATTTATCTGCAATTTAAAAAAAAAAAGCTGGAAGAAGAAGAACACAGCACAGTATAAGTTGTATGGAGCTTACTTACCTCATATTCTTCTTTGAATCCATAACCTTCTGCACATTTCATCTGAGTGATATGTTGCAATAAATCTGCAACACGAATGGCTGGATGAAGCTGTCCTGTCTGATATGGCACATCTACAGGGTCTCGCTTTTTGTAGGTATGTGACTGGACCAGGCTACTTGTGTCACTTCCGACTGTATGAGTTTCATCTAGGGAAAGAAGATGCAATAAAGTATCGGACTACTTCCAGTTGATATATAAAGTTAACGATATATTTTGAACGTGGCTTTTAGCACCATCATCATCTTTAATTGTCTAGGTGGGCTAAATTGTAACTATTGTGTAGTTTATTCATGGAGATATCACAAGGTATTGAGAAGAGACAGAGGTCAATTAGTTTACAATAAAAATGTGTAGACCATATTTTATTATTTTATTTGCTTGTTTACACCTATAAGTAAATTGGGAAATTTATTTTTTTAGGATACTGATTTCTAAATAGTTCAGAAATTTCAAACTGAAACTTCATCAAGTCCTAGTCTAATAAATAATTAAATATTTACTGGAGGAGGATACTATTTATTATTTTTCACAATATTTCAGGATTCATGTTAGTGGAAAGCAAAATGTTTAAAAATGCATAAAATGATATGGGTTGTTAAGCAGGAGAAAAATGGAAATGGAGATTGGATACATTAGGAAAGAAAATATATAGAATAACTATGAAGAACCTTTTGATTGGAGATAATGCTTGACTGAAATTAGCATGCTGCAAATTTAGATCAATATATGACAAGGTCTATCACATCAAGCATGAAATGTTATATGTCAGCTTACATGCAGGGCAACATACAACATGACCCCACTAGACTGATCCAAACTGATGTGAAGCAAATAATCTCCCACCCTCCACAGCATTGATGGGGCAATGGGAAACTTACCATTTATTGGCACTTTAAAGAAGATACATATCAGGAAAAAAAGAGAAGGAGGAGAAGAAAAAAGGAAACAGGCCATAAGCAACAGTACTACAATAATAATTGCAAGGTATTTTTATGGTTGTAATTTAAGCACCTTCAGTTTAGTTTCCTGTCAGACAAACTGAATATTTTGTTAACATAAAGGGCTGAACAACCAGAAAAATTTTCTTTTTCTTTTTGCTGAATCATGTTGGTGCTTTTAATTTAATGTGACAAGAAAAGAACACCCTCAAGTGAGAATGAAATGTTTTTGTTTTTCTCTCATTGTAAAAATTTAACTTCACAAAGCTATTTATTAAAAATTAAAATAAACAAGTATATCGCCTTCTAAAACTATGGGTTACTTGTAAATTCTTAAGCAGGGTCATTTTATTACATGGGACCAAAGCAGATTAAATGGCAGCCTATATGTGGTTTGCTGACTGGAACATTAAGGACAAATAGGTGATGCAGGTTTTTATAGATTAAACCTTCTATATGAAAAAAAATACCCACTATTGTTTGTGTATTAATGGTCCCCATAAATTTAATGTCATGTGACAAAACAGAGAGACAGACCATGAAACCTTTTGGCTGTAAGAGTTGTGTCTAATTTAACATTTTCTAGATAGCTCTTCTAAGAGCTACAGTTCTAACACTTCTGATGGTGACAGAGTGAGAAGTTAATATGAAAACTGAACACCATCACTTAGCATTTCCTATGGGTCATCAGTATAAAGCTCCTCTCAATATTCATGAATCAGTATTTGTAGTGATTACTTATTACTAGCAACAAATTGACAGTCCTGACCCATATTCAAAGAATCCTTTAACTCACTGGGGAAAACTAGAGAGGTATACAGACCCCTGAACACTCACTAGTGGGATACATTATTTATCTATCGATCTTACATTACTAGATTAAATGGTATATGAAAGGGACAGTTGAAAAACATGATTTTCACTGTTCTTACTTAGTAGATCTTAACCTATAGCTCCACAACAATATAATTTTCAGAGATTGGTTTTAATCCTAACTTCTCTTGTTTTGAACTGGACATATTTGATTTTAATAAAATGTGGCTTTCTCTTTTCTCCATAGTCCATCTTTTAAAAAAATCAGCTTTTCCTTTGGAATCCAAATTTTGAATGAATTTTAGAAGTTGTATTGAATGAATGGAGGAATTGGTGGAAATTTCCCCTTCATTTGTGAATAAAGAAAGAATTTAAGAATCAAAATATTTCCTTTGTTTCCATGGCAATATACCCTGGGGTCCCAGTCACATTTCAGAAATTCTCCAGCCATTCATAAAATATTTTTAGATTCGTCTACAAACTCTAATCTTTTAATTAGTACTACACAAATTTCTGGAGCCTTTAAATGATGTATAGGAACCACATCCCCTGCCCAAGAAAGAGAGAGGGAGAGAAAAGAGTGGATGGGGGAGGGACCTAAATCATGATTAAAACTAAGCTTAACGTGAATTGATTTATTACATGTGGACTCAATACTATGATTACTTCCAAAGTATTGAAGTATTTTTCTCTTCTATTACATTTAAAATTATTATGTGATAAGAATATTTTAGAGGGGCTCTGGGAATCTTAATTAAATTGGGGGGGGGGGGGCTGCAAGGTGAATATTCCTGTTCTTAAGATCAGACAGATGATCTACACTGGATGAAAATCAGAATATAGGCATAGAGTTCTATGATAATAAAGAAAAGAACACCAACATTACTGAAATTATTTTGGCCTGCTGGATTGCACTGCTCCCGTAAGCAGTTAGTGAATTGTTTAATCCTAACTCTGAATATATAGAATAGCAAATGTATGCCATATACACATGGCAGTTTCTCTCAGATTCCAGGTTGGGCCAATCTTATTATCCTGAAACAAATACTGATATACAGAGTTCCCTTTAGCTCCTCTTCAACAAAACTGGGATGCATGGCATTAGGATGCATGGTATGAAAGGCGATATACAAGTGTTGTTACAATATGTTGTTGCTGAAATGACACCTGAATATTACAAGGTGGCTGAGACACAAAAAGACAAAATAAATAAGAAAATAAGTAAAGAAAGAAACATAGGGTTGGAAATTGGTTTATGAGATTTCAAAATAAAGTATGTAGAGACTTTATTGTTTTCGTTTTAGGTTATTATATTATAGTTAAGTAGCAGGATCTACTGCAGGGCTGCAAAATGAGTCAATACAACTTTTGTACTTATGTTGCATATTCATACAAAACCCATTGCAATTATTTCTGTTAGATATCCCTCTACATATTAGAAACACAATTGTTCATAAAGAAGTACATATGGATCTTTGAAATAAAGATCTGATTATCCCATCTGCATGCAGTTGGATACTAGAGTTATCAATTTCGTTTAGAAAGCGCATTGAAATGAAATTTTAAATTGCATTCCCAATATTTGAAACATAGTTGAGGGCCTTTTAGTTGCTCAGAAAGTTACAAATTCTTAGATCTACTTATTTTTTTGCTGTATTTTAGAACAAGATTGCAATATGGTAAGAAACTGACCGAAATATCATGAGCCTAGTTACTGATTTCAGTTCAAGTGAAGGGGATCTTTGATGGGAAGCTAACCTCTAATAGTGAGGTTTCAGGCTGAATTGTTTCAGAAAGCCGTGTTTCAAATGTAGAATGCCTATTTTGAGTATTAAATGGTCTTCCAAAAATGAAAGGCCAGTTCCACCCCTGAAATGTTACAATTTGCACTCCACTACATTATCTAATTTTTAATTTACATCTGAGACATCCCATATTAAATGGGTATAGTGTTGCTCTTGCTGGTCTGAGATAAATTTATTTACAGAAAGGCATTGTCATATAAAAATGCACAGAAATGAATACAGTAAAAGTAAACTGTTTACATCATTGTCACTTTCTTGGACTTTGGTTGGCATGTGTCTGCTACTGTTACTGAAGGTTTTTTTAAAACGTAAAATTTTTTTTCACATCTATAATTTAATGACAATAAAAAGCAGTTTAATTGTTTACCTTGGCCTGATATTGCAGTCACTTAGTTGCCATGAAAAACACTATCCATGAATTGCTACTTCAAACAGATGTGTAATTATAGTCAAGTTCTTGCACAGGAAAAATTGCATGTTAATAATCATTTTAATGTAACAGAAGGGAAAATTATTAAATACAGGGACACTGATTTAAATCTGATTTAAATGTATTTCATTTCCCCCGTTATTTTTTTAAATGGGTCATCTACCGACCTATTCAAATACTGAATGGAGTTCTTTGGTTTGAAAAAGCTTGCATTATTATGAGTTAAACAGAAAATATTTCTCTCAGTAGCTCCTTTGTGACTTAAGAGTCCCACACCGCACCCCATCAGGCAATTTTCAACACAAATCAAGACTTTCATTTATTTGGTAGTCATCTGAACAAACCGTGACTTGCTGGGAATACATACAAATATTGAAACTAAATACTTGTTGCAAAAGAAGAAAGAGAGGTACTTTCTTTCCAGGTCCTGTGCTTAATTATTCTCCTAACAATAAATCTTAGCTTGGTATTAGGTGTGTAAAGTAAGCCACAAAGAATTTATAGTTTGGGGGTATAATTAATACATATAAATAAACAGTGATACAGTTCTTTGATATAATTTATTATTATTTTTAGGCATTTAGAAGTGTCTTAGGATAGAAACTGAAATAGTTCTAAAAGGAAAGACCAAAAGTTTCTTTTTAAAAACTTATACAAAATAGTTCTTCATTAATTGGTGCTATAAAAAATATATCTTGACATGCACTTTTGTTAAAGAGTTTGCTTAGTAATTTTCTCCTTTCTATTAGAGAAAAAGTAGTTTCTAGCAACTGTAAGGTACATCCAGATACAAATATATTCAACAATAAAGTATATTAGAATCTTCCATCAAAATCTTATTATTTATTCAGAAGGGGGAACTTCAGACTTTAGATATGTATAGCACCTTTCTGTTTTTAATGAAGCAGCCTACCTTGTTTTAATACTTCTGTGTGAGCTTTGAAAAACTTGAATCTGCTTTAAGATTTTTATACTTTTTAAGTAGAGGTACCCTTTTTCCAGGCTTATGCTGAAAGCTGAAAAGCATGTATGTTTTTGAACGAGTAAGAGATAAGATGCTGTTTTTGTGCTAATTAAGAAGCAAACAGAGTTATATGGTTTAACAGTAACAGGTTCTTTTTTGTTTATTGAAAATGTCGTAACATTTACAACTTGCTATAGAAAAGCTGTAAAAATCACTGTAAATTTCATTTGCATATCCATTATTTTATTATTGTGATGACTGCAGGTTCCTTACCAGTAATTTATAAGAAACCATTTTCTTTAGATACCAGTTATAATTATATTTGCTAATTACAATTATATTACAACATTTCTTATACTTTTAAGAGGTGGAGAGCGGGAAATCACAGTTTGAGTGTAGCACAATGAATTTCCTTTACCTTTGTTTATGACAAAAAAAAAAAAAAGAAAATTACTTTTGATTTCAGAAGTTTAAAAACAATTTAGCATATGATTTGACAGATTCCTGTACCAGTGTTTTTAAGACCAAAACATTTCTGTTGGATGGATGGGTTTTAACTCTCATTTCTCTTTTTTAAAGCCCATGTATACAATAGTTTTATAGTAGATTCAACAAACTGGAATTTATACGATAAAATTATGCACCAATAAGGACAAGGAAAAAAGAAGCAGCAATTTAAATCCTGGAATGAAATTCTTATTACATGTTATTGAATTGTTTTGCTTGGTTTAGATTTAGATTAGTATAGTAGTAGTACAAAGCACAGCCCATTTTTGTTATTATTTCATGTGCAGTAGCATTTCATGCTGTTTTTGTTATTTTAGCATGGTTAACTCATTTCCCTTCATTCTCTTTTTACTGGACAATCAGTAGTTTTCAACTTCCTAAAAGAAAGGTAAAAAATATGCTTCTTGTCTCAGAATTCTGGTACAGTATTTCCACCTGTATGGGACTTGGTACATTTTATGTTATTATTCTGATAATCCCATTTATTTGTGATACACAAATAAAAATAAAGTGGAAAATATTTACTATGCTATAGAGTTCATAAATCATATTTAACACTAATAACACTTTATAGACTAAATTAAAATTATGCTGAAGTTTTGACTACCATACTTGCATTGTTTGATATACCCATTATTTTATAAATATGACCAATAACTAAAAATATTGGCTCCCCCACCCCATCTACTAAATCACCTATGATAATAAAAGTCTGGTATTTGAATGTTAAATGCAGAATAGTTTGCACATTTTGAATAGAATAGAATACACTTGTTTAAGTACAATGTTTCACTACCTAGGTTGAACTTGTATTGTTTCTGCAACAGACATTGATAAAGGGAAATGTTCTCACCTAAAATTGCAGTTGGCACAAATGGATCTGTCATACATCATAAGGTCAATGCAGAAAAGGTAAAAAGAGAAAGAAAAGTAAATAACGAGCAAATGTTCCAATTTTCTTTTTGCTCAGAAAGCCATGAGTTATAAGCAATAGAGCTTTTACACTTTGAAAGTATTTTTGGAGAAGTGCGATTGCAACATCTTTATTTGCCCAACTTTTTCAGGGTTCTCCATAAAGAAAAGAAGAAAACAAGTTAATTGCTTTATGAGTCACCTTGGTTTAATAAGTGTATTCTTAAATAAATGGTATCTTTTAGGAAGTTCATTCAGAAGCCTGAAAAAGCCATATTGCTTTAGAACAGTTTTCAAGCCAAGTCTGCAGCATTTCTTTAGAGTTACTTTCCAAAGTGTGAAAAACTCTAAGAAGAAATTTGTTATTTCATGCAAATGATATTTAGCTCTTAAACTTTGGTCATGTTCAGTATTTCAGTCTGTACTTAAAACACTGATAGTGGAGATATGATGGCTAGGTGTGCATAAGAGATACACTCAAGCTTCTTATTCTCTGTGGTAGCCATTATCCTGCTAGACTTCAAGGAAGTCAGTATTCTTCTCTATAGATGGCTGGGGGATTCTGGGAGTTGAAGTCCACACATCTTAAAGTGACCAAGTTGAGAAACAGTGCTCTATTGAACTTTGCCTGAATTAGGGAAGCAGCGCACAGTTTCTAAATTGTTATAAAAGTAAACTATTTACAGTATTTAAAAACCAATGAAATATTTGGTTACCTGGATAATATGAATTGGGAACAGTTGTACTCAGGGTGTTCGTTTTCATTGTAAATGAAGAGGGTGATGATACAGCTGGAAAGAGAACACTATGCAGTAAATCTAAACAAAAGTATTAGCAAACAATAGTTTATTTGCATTACATCCCTAATCTTGTTAAATCTGATAAGCAAAATGATATTGTGGAAAAAATGTTACGTGAAAAATTAGCAACAGCGCTTCCATAACTTGGCATTATTTAAATATTTGTTTTTTCTTAGATAGATATTGTGTTTCTTTCATTTTATTGCATGCTTTGTAAGGTGCCTTCTGCAATTAGGAACTCTATGACCCACTTTTGTATATATATTTTGCCACACCTATCATCTATCATAAAATGGAGATGCAATATGGATTTCTCCTCAATGAAACTGGAAGGAACAGTGTAGGAAAGAATTACAAGCTGCTAAAGGCAACTTTGGGAAAGAACGTAGTCAAAAAATGCTTTAAATTAGGCTACAATCTTATGCCCATTAACTGAATTGAACTGACCTAAACAACTTTTAATATGTATCCTTTTTTGAAATTGTGTGGCTGTTATGTATAGGTTACTACTGTAGCCATATGATCCAGGAAAAAGAGGGGGTTCCTTTAATTAGTTGCAAACAAGTGCTGTATTCATGCATTTGTGTGTTCCAAGGCATCTTTTTCACAATCTAATATAAAGCATTTCACAGTCCTAACAAACACTTTTGAATCCTCTTCTGTGGAATTATTGCCCTATAGTTTATATGCATTTTATATTTTCACTCATGGATGAATTTTTCCTTTAAAAAAAATAGTAATAAAAATACTTTTGTATAGCTTATGTCATGTTCTAAAAGTAGTATAGCAACTAAAGAGTTCACAAGAGGACTCTAATTCATTTCCTGGCATCTTCAGTTGAATAGATTTCAAATAGCAAAGCTGAGATCTGTTTAAAGATTATTGCCGGAGACCTGCGAAATCTGCTGTCAGACAGAATAGAGACCAGCTTTACCTTAACACGTATTCTTGATGAGTTGGGGAGACATTACTCAGGATCCTATGGAAGCTGCAGTCTCTTACATCTTGGGATTGTACTATTCTGGGAATGTTTGAAATAGTCCATTCTGGCAAGATGGACAAATTGTCTGATCTTGGATAGGGCAGCTTCAGCTTCCTATATTCATAGCTTTAATTTTTCTGAGACAAAATATTAAAGCAGTATGGAATCTCATCTTAAATACCATCTTAGTCTTAGGAACCTGGATCAATCTGGCTCAAAAACAAATAACAATTTACTGAATTCTCTTATGGTAGGAACTCTGAAATTTGTCAGTTGTGGCTAAAGAGCCACTATTCGCACATATGATGATATTTCTTAAAAATGGTCGCCAAAATATGGAGAATATCAGGCAGCATTGTATAATAAATGAGGAAACTGAATGTAACAAGTACTGCACTGATATCAGTGGTTTTTTGCTTGGAAGCGAGGGAAAGGCAAAAATACAAAATTTTATTTATCAAATATTAAATTCCATCTTCTTGCTATATGATGTGAAATGTTGCATGGGTGAGAACTTGAAGCCCATGGATTGAGTAAAAAGATTTAAGAACCTTTCACACTTCCCTTTGCTATTTGCTCTGCAGAAATTAAAATGACTTCCACTTACATCTCCCATTTAGATTGTGTGTATCCATGAAAGAGAAAGCTTCATCACAGTTGGTACCTTGTTCAGCATAGCTTTTATCCATTGAGTTCACCATCACTGTCATTTCCTGTCGTGTGTTACTCAATGTCTCCTTTCGCTTTTTGGCCAGTTTTCTTAAGAAAGAAACATTAAGGAAAGGAGATGATGCTTCAATAAGCAAGCATAGAATTCATTATTTTTTATTACATATAATTTATAAAATCACTTCTGCTAAAAAGAACTCCCCCCCCCAGATACACACACACAAATCAGCTACAATATTTCCACTGTGAATTCATGAGAAAAGGCAGTACATACAATTAGAGTAACAAAATACACGATTAAAGAGTTATATGTACTATATAGAAATGAAGGAAAAAGAATTGATGCCTGAAAAAGGATTATGTATGCCTGAGCACAAGGTACATCCTTAGGATACTAGGTTGCCTTTGTGTTATTGACTCCTTGGATTCTAAAACTGGACTAGAAAACCTGTTTGGTTTGCCAATCTGCCTTTGAAGGGCCAGCAGACTGTCGGTCAGTCATTCTAGGAAAGCCCTGATTTGGTAAGTTGATTGCAACAGTGGGCAATTGCATCCAGACTTTGGCTGAGTATAAGCTCTAAGACAACATGTTCAGGTAGTCCTTGACTTACAATCACAATTGAGCCGAAAACTTCTGTTGCTAAGTGATAAATTTGTTAAATGAGTTTTGTTTCATTTTATGACTTTTCTTGCCACATTTGTTAAGTGAAACACTGCACTTGTTAAATTAGTAACACCATTGTTAAGCGAATCTGGCTTTCCCATTGACTTTGCTTGTCAGGATGTCACAAAAAGTCATCAGATGGCCTGGGACACTGCAACTTTCATAAATATGAACCAGTTGTCAAGCATCCAAATGTAAATCACGTGAGGATGCTGCAACGGTCATATGTGTGAAAAATGGTCATAAGTCACTTTTTTCAGTGCTGTTGTAACTTTGAACAGTCACTAAATGAACTGTTGTAAGTTGAAGACTACCTGTATTTCAAAGACCTGAGTGTCTGATTTTGGTGTGACTTCTTGAGAGGCATTGCAATCAGTGTAATCTATTTTCTGATTTATTTAATTCAATTTATGGCTGGATGATGCAAAAGTGTATAAACTGCTTATCAGCTTCCCTAGGCCTACAAACAGCAGGTGTAGTAAACACTACACTCACAACATGAGTGTGTTGAAACATAAGGCTAAGGCCATCACAGCCTAGGATACAGATACTAGATATGTCAATAACTGATAATCATTCAGCTTCATTAAGTTCAGGGCAAAAAAACCCCACTGAAATATGGGAAAAGCAGGAAAAAGAAACAGTGGGTTTAAATAGTTGTTGGTATCAGAGGCAAACTGTACTCTCACAACTGTCTGAGGATAGTCAATGTTCAATAAATAGGCTTAGTTCTAAAATTTCTTATCTAGTTGTGCCATATTATGTGTCTGAGAGACAAGTTTGAGTCTAGTAGCTAAGTTAAGCTGCGTGAAGTTGAGGAGCTACGATTTATTGCTGAACCCTGCTTTGGTAGACTGACAGCTAAGGCTGCCAAGATGAGAAAAATCTGTTCAGTTATATTAAGAGAATAATTGGAAGTAAAACAGAACCCCCCCCCCCCCAAGCTGTATAAAGTCCTTCTTCTACCATATTAAAATTATGATTTTTGTGGAGGAGTTTCTGAAAATTAAAGCATGTTCAATGCTCTGAAGAACCTTGGAGCTGAAGGTTTATTTATTTATAAGATTTATATATCATGTCAATCTGATCAGCTTTTAATGGTATATTTCAGAGCACCAGTAACAATGGGTGGAATGAAATTTTACTGAACACAATGACAGTGCTTCAGGGGAAGACTGTGAGAACTATCAATCAAATGGTATTATACAGATATGTTTGCACAGTTGATAAACTGAATTTCTCTACCTTTCTTACATGGAAAACAGCACTATACATTAGATGCAGAAATAATGATAATCATTAATGCGGATGATTTTGAGAGTGGTTTGGATGCATTTATGGAGGACAGATCTATCAAGTGTTCTCACTCAAGGCTGAATGTCACCTTGATGAGGACAATATACAAGGGAACATTGGTTGGAAAGCTATCAATCAGAATGCCAGAAAGTCTGTTGGCCACTTTGAGAGTCATAATACTGGATTAAGATAGTCTTCAGTTTGATCCAGCTTGTGTTTTTCAGGTCATACTTCCTGTTATCTCAGGTGGAGATTTTCTCACCATCTTCTTTGACCCTTTTAACTGAAGGTTCTGGAATCCAAATATGTTCTCCACCCAAAGCATATATTGTATTTAAGCTGCAGGTTCTTTTTCTCAGCTATGATCCATTGCTTATAAACCAATTTTCCACTTTCTATATTATAAATTTCTGCCCTACAGTAAAATATCCCTCATGTGTCTGGTCAAATATTTCAAGTATGGCTTAAGAGGAAATGTCCTTTTTGTGGCCTTAGTAATTATAGCAAGAATGGAACTTCCACTTTTGTATGAATATATAAAGCAGGACTTAGAATTATTCCTTTTCTTCTATGTAATGGTCATATAATTTTCTTTGGAAAATTTGAACTTAGGAACAGATCCAGATAAACAAGCTTAGTACATATCAACAGGATATCTGATGCATGTCAATATACTGAGTATCTTTAAACCACTGTCAGATCAAAAGTGGGGACAACTGACCCAATTTCTTTTTCCCACTCCACACATTTACTGAATGTGGAAAGAAGTTTAGTTGTCTGTATTATTATGAAACTGAAAAGCCAATAACATTCCCCCAATATTCCATGTTCTTTCAGAGTTCTCTATCTATTATGTTTTGACCTTTCAAAGATGCTTCTCTCAAAAGGTCCTGGTCATTTTTAGTATGAAGCTTCATATAGTTCAAGATAGCTTATTATATTGTACAGTCTCTATAGTCAGAGTAACTCAAAAATGACAAAAATAATGAAAGGTTTCAAGGTCATTTTATGATTGACAAGACCAATTACTAGACGGTTAAAAATAAAAAACTTATTATTTTGGCATCTAAATTTGCTATTCTTGTTTAAAACAACAACACAGAAATCACGAGATGTAATTTTTATGTATTATAAATAAATTTTTAAAAACATGTTCTCATCAAATACAAAAAGTGCAGAACAGTTGAGCTGAAAACACCTTGAAGATATTTATACCTTTTAGAAAATACAAAAAATGTGTATTGCTTTAAAAGTCAGGGAACTATGGGTTGGGTTGTGAATTTGCATTCGTTGTTATTTGAATTCACTTCAACTCTTTACCCAAGTGACTTATGACTTACCCAATGGGCCTGGTGGCTCAGCAGACTGATAGCATTGTGATTAACACCAGCTGTCTGCAATTACTGTAAATTCGAATCTCACCAGGCTCAAGGTTGACTCAGCCTTCCATCCTTTCTAAGGTAGGTAAATTGAGGACCCAGTTTGTGGGGGCAATAAGCTGACTTTGTATAAATATACAAAAGTATGAAGGCTATTGCTTAACGCATTGTAAGCCGCCCTGAGTCTCCGGAGAAGGTCGGCATATAAATCAAATTAAAAAATAAATAAATAAGTAAACATAAATTTAACCCCTGCAACAGAGTTACTTTCAGCTGCCCTTTCAAAGGTTAAGGTATATAATTTGGACAGAAACTGAATCTAGTGGTATAATCATATAAATGGAAACATTAATTTGAATGATACTAGTTTACTCTTCAACTGAATGATGATGTAAGACTATTACATTTCCTCTCTCTATTTTTTCTGCTTCTTAATTGAGGTATATAACAGCTTTATATATTATACCAGAATAATATCTACAGTTGCTCTATGAGGTCATAACATTTAATTCCAAGTTATAAATCAGTAAGCACACTCTTGATGATGCTGCACCATAGAAATAAAAATCTATCTAATATAAAAAAGAAGAAAATATTATTTCAAGAGTGCATTCTTCCTATTAGAGAGGAGAATTTCTCCCCTTATTTAAAAATCTTATCTGATATTTAATAAACTTTTCAGTCTGTATTTTTGGGATATCACAAAGCATAGTAAATAGTAAATATATGGGCAATACTGAGGTCGACTTTGGGACTACTGAGTTAATATATGACAACTGATAATACAGACATGATATTTTCCATATAGTCATATTCTAGTAACATCATCTTGAGACTAATTATCACTTGAGGAAGGAAAATACTAATAATTAAAGAGTCCCTGTCATATTCAAGTCAAGCTTTTAGTTGCAGAGCCTGAAACATGAATGGAGTAATGAGCTGCCAGTGTCAATTCCTTTTAAAACTTCCATAAAGTTAAACAGTAGATCTTTTAAAGCTAGTTCAAATACAGCCAGGAGGGCTTTCCTATAAAGACCAAAGCCCATTGAAGATCCTCACTTCAATCAAGAACTCAAGACACTGTAACACGTATTGTGATAATATTTCAGTATTCAGGATTAGAGTACAGGCAATCCTTGAGTATGACAGCAGTTGGAACTAGGACTGCTGTTGCTAAGTGATGCAGTCATAAAACGCAATGACATGTGACTGCATCACTTAGTGATAGCAATCCAGGCAGTCCCAGATGTCAAGACATGCAGGTCATTAAGTAGGAAGCAGCAGGATTTCTAAGAAAGGAACAAGGATGCTGCAGGGGGAGAGGGAAGGCTGTCCTGGTACAGGCTGTGCACAAGTTGACAAGGGGTGTGTGTACTGCAGTATGGCACAAGCAGAGGGAGGGTACAGAAGGAAGCATGATTTGTGTGTGACCATAAGATGACTCAGAAAGAATGGTGCAGGATGTATGAGAGTACAGAAAGGTCTGAGAAGGAAGGTACATGGTGTGCATGAACACTGGGACAGTACAGGCAGATGTGTGTGGTGTGTGAGTGGAGGAAGCCTTGGAAAGGAGAGTGTGGCATGCATGCAGAGACATGGAGGTCCAGGAAGGTGTGTGTGCAATGTGTGTAAATGCATGGAGGCCTAGGAAAGGGGGTGCAAGGTGCATGTGAGTCGGTTGTGTGTGAATGAAGGGAGAAAGGAGAGCATGGTGAGTTTGAATGGGCACAAGCAAAGACAGGCATGGGAGA